AGGCCCTTTGATGGTTTTTAGAGCAGGGCTGGCTGGAAACTCCTCCTGCAGGCTGTGAGGGAAGCAGTCCAGAAAAGCAGCAATTGATCATTTTGTCCCTTGCAGCAAGGTTCTGGGAGAGACTCAAAACCCTGGAAAGGCAACAACAATCTGCTCAACAACCTGCCTGGGTCTCTTCTACTTTCTGTCTCAAGCCTGCAGCCCTTTGGCATGGCATGGGAAGAATATTGGTGTTCTAGTTCAGCTGCCAGACAAGAGGGAAAAGCGTGGAAATATTGAGCAATGTCTCTTCCCCATGGCCGTGGTGGGGCTGTAGGGAGTGACCCTGTGTAGATTCCAAGTGTCCCCAAAGCTGCTCCATCCCTGCCCTCCTCACCTGAGTGAAAGGCTGAGGGTTTGCAGGGATTGTGGCATAAAGCCACCAGAGGTGCTGCTTTGGACCCAAGAGCTGCCTGGGGTCAGGTGCTGCCTTCCTTCCATTCGGGATCATGGAGAGCGGTTGCGGGTGTTGCACACACAGAGCGTGTGCCTGGCGGGGGGACACTGCTTCGCTGCCACTGGGCACTAGGATCCAACCTGCTGCCTTGGCCGCTTCTGCCCGCTGCCGGTGGTGGTGCAGGGACCGATTGGTGCCCGTGAGTTTGCAAAAGGAGCGATTTCCCCTCCTGGCTCCCGCCCGAGGCCGCCATGTCCCCTGAGGGGATCGAGCTCGACCGGGGCGCCCCCTGCTGGCCGGGAGCGCTCCCTGCAGCGCCCCCTGCTGGCCGCGGTTATAACTGCCACACAAACCAACAGCGCTGAGCGGGAGGGAAAGTTCTGGCTTTGTGCTGTTTGTTCTCTTCTGGTTTAGAAATTTCCTCAAATAGAGCTGTTATTCCTTTTCCTACACTGTTGCCTGGAAGCCCCATCATTTTTGAAATTTAAAAAAGTTTTAGCAATGTGTCTTCTTTCCATTCCAGGAATGTTCCCACGTTCCTTATCAGATATTTCTCATTTAAATGAGTTGCCACATCCTCGGTTTCAGCATGGATGGGACAGACACCCAAGAGAAGACTGGGTCAGGGACTTGGCCACCTCATCCTCTGCCTTTTAAGCCAGTAGGGCCACTAAGGGCTCTCTCCCCAGGTGGCACTTCTGGTCACCCAGCCACTCAGGAGCTGGCTTTGGCACAGTGTCACACTGTCCCCAGTGTGCCATGGCTGACACACTGATGGACAGACGGGGCCCTGTCTCACCAAAAGCAAGGTCTGACCCAGCCCTGCCACACACAGGTGTTCCAAAATGTCTCCAGACATCAAAGTTTTCCTGTCTCTGACACCCCACCCTGTGCCATGGCCTGATCCCAACTGCCCTGGAAAAGGGGGAGGCTCTGGAACCCCCACAGGGCCTTGGTGCCATCCTGGTGTGGGGAACACGGCAGAGGAAGGATTTGGGACAGGGGACAAGAGATCCAGAGCCTCCTGAAGGCCACTTTGGCCATCAGAGCACTGAAGGTCCAGGACCCTGCCAGGTTCCTCTGGCAAAGAAAATGTGCTGGGATCAGCATCTGGAGTTTTTTGCTTTTTGGAAATCATTCCTTTTGTGGCCCTTTGGATTCTGAACCTTGTTGCTGTTGCTGTTGGTTTTGTTCTCTCGTTGCTGTCTCAGGAAATTGTTCTTCTCTCAGCCCTTTGGGATCTTTCTGCCTCCACAGGGAGGGGCAGCAGCCCCTGGTTTTAGTGGCAGCCCAGAACTGGAGAATCCCATTCCTAGAGCCCAACAAAGCTGAACAAACACCATTTCTGCCAGTTTAACCAAAATGCTGCATTTTTGCTGAAATAAGAAGGAAATGGGTGCTGTGCCCTCTGACACTGGGAGGAGCCTGGGGAGCCATGGGTGTACTGGGAGCACTGGGAGGGGGAAAGGGGAGCACTGGGTGCCCTGTGCAGCCCCCCCTGACTGGTGGTCATCAGCCTAGGCAGGATGGGCCAGCACGGGAGCCACGGGATGCGGAGTCCCAGTTTCCCCCCGTGTCACAGCACATTCCCACAGGTGTCACTGGTGTCCTGCAGTCGCCCATGTGGTCCTGGCAGCTCTGCGTGGGTCACCTCTAGGTCCTTGTGGGGCCATGTAAGAGACAGCTGGCTTGGGGTGACACCCATGGGTGACATGCCCGTGTCCCCACCCATCCCCCATACTCACCCCCTGCCCGCTCAGTGTCCAGCTCCTCCCCCTCCCCCGGGGGATAAGGGGGTTCTGGGGGGGCCCTGCAGGATAAGGGGGGGTCTGAGGTGTGTGTGGGGAGGGGGTCGAGGAGAGTCATGGCTGGAGCTCCCCACTCACCGGGGGATGTCAGGGTTGGGGCCACACCACAGAGTGGTGAGGGGACACAGGGTAGAGGTGGGGGGACATGAAAATATGTCTGGAGGACATGGAGGTACCCAGGCAGGGGATCCGAGGAGGCTGTGGGGGCTCCCAGTGCCCGTCCCCGCACTCACTGCGCACCGTGAAGCGGAGCCGGGTGCTGCTCCTCCACACAGCACCCACCTTGCAGCGCACTTCACAGCTGTAATGCCCTGAGTGGGAGACCCCCACGGCGGGCACCAGCAGCTGCGGGAACCCCTGCGGGCCCCCCACCACCTGCCCGTCCCGGTAGAACACCCGCAGGAGGGGGGCTTGGGGCCACATGTGGCTGGGGATGCTGAGGCAGGTGAGACTCAGGAGGGCAACTCCATGGTGGGCTCTGGGACACCTTCCCGCACTGGCACCAGGAAGAGCTCAGGGAAGGAGAGGGGAGGTGAGGACTGTGACTCTGAGTCCACTGGGAAGTGGCTTTGGAGCATCAGGAGATTGGGGTTCCAGCTGAAGGGGATGCTCACCATGCATTGTCACTGATAAGGAATGGGGTTGCCATGATTTGATTTCCAGGGGAATGGAGGTCCCAGGGATGGGCAGTGCTGGGTGAGCAGAGGGGTCACAACTCCATTCCTGAGTGCCTCAGATTTTGGGGATACCCAGGGCACAGCACAGTCCCCACAAAGGGCCGGTGCCCTGGGAGTCATCCAAGAGAGATGCCGAGGGGCTCTGGGTCTGTGGCGGTGCTGC